CACTATATCAGAGAATCTGTACCACTATATATGCAGACTAACTCACCGGACAGTCGTGGGATTTCATTTCAACGCGGAGCTGTGGTTTCATGTTCCAGTGCTTATCCTTGACATCTCTGTTAACAGTTAAAATAGCCTTCCCGTTCATTAGAGACCATCTCCTAGACACTGAAGATGGTTTCTCTAGTTGCCATGCAGATCCTAGAATTCACCTGAGAAAACAAAGCAACACCATAAATCTTTTGCAAAACATGTCCAGAAGATGCTCATACCATTTACGGAGCCAGTGTTGTAAGAACCGTCGTATGTCCACCCTCCTTTGTGAACATGGATAACTTTATCGGTGTCGAGAATGCTCCTTAGCAAAAGCCCTCCACCCTTGTATCTAAAGCAAAAGTTGCCACATTAGTTCTAGAAAAAGTGGCTCAATTTGCAAACCTGCAACGGACGACGAAGGATTCGTTTCTGGTGTGGTCGAAAACATTCCTTGTTATCCACATGCCTTCTCTGTGACTGTGGAGGCTGTGAGTGGCACAGTCGTCTCCCGTGTCTCTCACTCTCACGCTTCTGAAGAGATAAGGCGCAGTGACTGGAGGAGTAACGGAGATGTAAACCAGCACCGACACTTCTCGGTCCTTCTTTGTCTCCAGCAATGGAAACCAGCCGCTGAGTGATTGCGTTTCCGAGCGGATGACAGTTTTCCATGGAATCAGGAGCAGGCCCACGGTTTTGGATATCAAAAAGCGCTTCTGTCGAACTGCGAGCACCAGCCCTTCGGTGGAGAGCTCAGCTGTTATGGTTGAGACTACGCTCCGATGAGAGGAAGCCTTCATTCGTTGGCTCTCGAGATTCAGATACTTTTGATGGTTTAACGAGCTTATCACGTAGTAGATGGTCCTATCGTCTGGCAAACCTCTGGTACCTCTTACGGAGAGATGAACCTGCATAAATCGAATCAGATCAGACGAGATTGACAATAAATCTGCGAACTCCAATACCTGAATGGTCTTTCGCTCAGCCAAGTCATAGTCGTTTTCACTAGCGAGCCTGGCGAGCTTGGCTGGATCATAAGCAGGTGTTCCGGGAATGGATGCTGGTGGCTCCCCTCTATACATGCACCCTGCTTTCTCGTATGGAAGGCCATACGTGTCTTCCCACATAGATCGAGTCTTTGTGAATCCATTGTCCAGTTTTCCTCCAGAATCTCGGTTGCTATCTGTGTCGTCATGCTCGAAGATCCTTCCCAGTACCTGTGTGAGATCGTTGTGGTAGCTCACAGGGTGAAGCTGATGTGTATGCCATATTAAATCGATGTCGTAAGTGGGAACGAAAAATGTTGATGTGCCAGACTTGCGTACGAGATGGAGAAACGCCTTGTAACGTGCAACAGCAGCTACCAAGAAGCTCTCGTCCAGGTAATGCGGCTCAGAAACCTGCGTACTCAAAGTTAATTTGCTTCCAAGGAAAGATCGTCACTTGCCTGATAGTAGAAACTTTTCTGCCTGAGAGCTGCTTCTGCCAAATCATAAAAGATATTGGTTGGTCTTTCGGTATATCGCCTTGTTGAGTCTCCACCGTAAATGTCAAGAGTGTATGGTTCGTCTGGAAAATTCGAAGCCCATGTACTGGCGCTTTGTTGGAGATCATTTCTGTGCCTCGCCAAAGAAGGTCCGTCCACAATTTTACCGAACAATCTCTTACAGTCGTCAGCATATTGAACCTAGTCAGACACGTAACTTTAGTAGATTGAAGTGGACAGACAATGAATAGCCACACTTACAGGATTCAAGCGATGGCAATGCCATATCCAGCCGCAGTCGAGTGGCGGGACAAAAGTCCCAGAAGAATTTGCTAACAGCGGAAGGCAGCAGTACTGGTACCTAGAATCCAAGAAGAAATCAGCAAACTAGATCAAACAAGTAAATATCTTACCTCTCAATTGCCCTTTCCAGAACAGGCCTCTCAAACAGCTTGAAATTGGCATGTACCAGCGAAAGGAACTCCAACTGTGATTTTGCAGCTGCTACCACATCCAGAGAGAGCGTAATTTCTTGAGCCTTGCGCCATTCATTCACTTGATTCACGGAAAGCGAAGCCATTGTTGTAGTCTGTGAGTCGAGCACACTGCTTGGTCTGCTTAAATAAGCGGGAAGAAGCTGCCTGCTTTGACTCTTTGAAGGATGCGTAGAGAGTTCGGAAATTCGATGTGTCTTAGAGCTTTTGGATGTTCAGGCTAGTTTACGGCGACGGCCAATGATCTCGCAATCCACGCGGGGCTCGTAGAGAGTTTCAAGGTCAGTGTGTATCATTGACTGGCGTCGCAGGATCGTCGAACTTGCTTTTTTCGTCAAGTCGTCTTTACCAAGACTTTTTTTGTTACTGTGTCAAAGGATGTGCGTCCACGATAGCCTGAAACAAAACATAAAAAAAAAAAAAAATCAGTAGGAGAAGTTTCGACTGTACTTTCAAGGGAAATCCACGTCCTTTTGGGCCAAGAGAAGCTCAAAACGAGGAACGAGAAGTACTCTTCCATGTCCTTTAACACTCGCTACTTCGTGCCTGGGTTGAAAAAAAAACGGCACAAAATTAGAGAGACTGTCCTCAGCGAAGATCTTTCCTTCCCATGGAGGATGGATGGATACAACACATCCGACCTGTACATCGGGAGAAAGGCTGTCGAAAATAGCGGTGGCAGCTTCAAAGGTCTCCAAAACCTCGCACTTTGTGGATGTGAGATGTGCCTCAGGCGACGATTTCTCGAGCACTCGTAAAGTGAGAGAACCATCTAAAGCAAGGAACCATGATCATGTCGAAGAGAACAAAACAGGGAAAGACATACCAGCTGGTTTCATGTCTGAGCTCAAGTGATTGTGGCGCCCTCCCAGTTGTGCCAAGAGCGCTTCAAACCTTTACGAATCAAAGAAACGTCAGATGTTAAGGACGGCATGGAAGAGCCACTGACTTAGACTTTGACGAGGTTTCTGCCGGAAGATCACCGCCGTCGCTGCTAAACTCTTGAAGCTCTTGCACAGAAAGCTTGGTCAAGGATGCATCCTAGAAAAACAATCAGTGAGAGGAGAAGAAAGAGAAGGGCCAGGCTATGTCTCGTTACCTCGGACGTGGTATCACTTTCGATCGGATCAAGGCTAGAATCCACCCTGGAAGAGAATGATCGCTAGAAATGAAGAATAGAATCACTGGAAATGCAGCTACCTCGTGCTTGCCTTGCGCCCAACATCGTCGTCGTCGTCGGCATCTGAGATTCCATCCTCCAGCTCCAGTGGCCGTCGCGGGCTGCCCCGGGTTTAAACGAGAATATGGCGTGGCTGTTGTTTAAGTAGTTCTGACATATCATGAACCGTTGGATGAATTCTAGCACATAGACTTTTATAGGTCGGCATGTTGTCTTTGTTCAGGTACACAGAAAGCATCAGCTCGTAGATGAGATGACACAGTTTGCGACGATTTTTCCTTGGTTTGAATGGATGTCAGGACAATCTTGGTGACCACAACCATGGCAGGCCAAAAGCCATTTGACCTACATTCCCAGGAAGGGAGATGAAGTGATTGTAATGGTTAAATATATATGAACATTCCCCAATGTCCCATAGGGATTGTTAGTGTTGTCATCAAGAAACTAATCTAATGATGCATACCTATTGCAGCCAACCACAACAAAAACATCAAGAGTGCAAACACCACTGCCCTCAACCTCCAGCCAAAGCTGACCATATGTAGGTGAGGTACTAGCCTTGGGGATATCCTTGCTGTGATGCTTTATTTCTTGATCATGGAATTCTTGTATAAGTTCCTCCCTCCAAAATCTATTTTAATCCCTGTTGAAGCATAGTCACTACCGTGACTTGTGAAAGCAAGGAGTATATAAGTATTGTATCCCTATACATGTGTGTGTCTACTGTATATTCTGTCCTAACATGGTCTTAGAGGATTAAGGGCAATTTGTAAGTGATGGGAAAGTATAGTGGATTTGAGGGATTTTTGTCTAATTGTTGAGAGGAAGCTGAAAAAGAAGAAGGTTCTTGGGTTACTCACTTGAAAGGAGCAGCCACCATCAAGGCTGAATGAAATAGATCATGGTTTAAGTAGGCTAAGTTGCCAAGTCATCCTAGACATATTCAAGCATCATCAGTCTTTGGAGGAATGGCCATATAACTAATAAGCTTACTAGACTATACAAATTTATAATTCTATATAGACTTTGAATTTAGTGAGTGTAACACATGTTTAATCCCATTACAGATAGCCAAGGGTATCCATGACATACTAGTTTGTTATGTTAATGTTGAGAAGGGAGCCTCTCAACAGCGGGAAAAACACTCTATCATACTCTAAAATCCAATTCTCCATTGTTTGAATATTCTAGGGTATGGGCACAGGGGTATATTCCCCATTTTTTAGGGCAGAGAGTTCACAAAGAGATATTTTTATATTTTAGAGAATCTTGCTCAACTCTAACCATCTAAAGAATGCATTAACTCTGTTGCACGTGAGAACGCAAGGCTTAAGTATTGGTGTAGACTCCAATATGATGTCCTGTGTTAACAACTGTTGTGAGGAAAAAAGACTAAAGAAAAATGAAGAAAAAAGAAGATGAAGAAAAAAGAAAGTGTAGAGTTCTGGAGTTAAAAGGAAACCATATGGGAGAAGTTGACAAAAGAACTAGATACTAAAACAAAAAGAGATAAAATGGAGAAAAAACAAGTGAAAATAAGAGAAAACCTCTAAAAAAAACCTTAAACCTCTAAAAAAAACAGCATGGAAGAACAGAGTCATCAAGGATGCATCCTAGAAAAAGACCTCATTACCTCGCACTCGATTTTGTTACGGTTTAAGGTTTATTGGCAATCACTAGAATTCATGGTCGATGAAGTGAGTGACAAGCGTGGCCGCTGTGCTGTTGTTTGTACCAACATTCTCCTACTCACTTACAAGCACAGGAGCCATAAATCTTGGGATGTTGGCCAGGTTTTTAGCCTTCCAAACATTATTCTTTTATTGTATTTATGTTTTCGAAACATGAGAAAGTATAAATCAGCAGAGAAGGTTTGGATTTCGAGTCATGAGATGGTAGGCTTATCCCAGCCGAAAACTTCCGGGTAGTGGTTGCCTACATATATCCGATGCAAGTAAAAGTTTTTTTGAGTCTTCTTAGACAAACATATCTTTCTTTTTTAGTTTAGACTTTATTCTACTAAGGTTGAGTGGGGATTACAAATTTGAGTGGTTTCCAAAAACACAGGCAATGGGAAATTGCTACAACAAATAACGACGTACTATACTATTGGTTGATTTAACCGGTGAATTATCTCTTTTAGCCTTTTTCTTTCCCAACAGTATCAAAGAGGGTATTTGTAATGCATGTGATTATGGTACTGTCACCGTAGATCCTTGGAACCTTGGGGGATAAATAGGGATAAAATAGCCACTAAAGGCTCTCTCATTAAGCAATTACCCCTTTTTCAGTTGGTTTAAGGGGAGAGAGATAATGTGCGTTACATGGTATCAAAGCAAATGGTATGGGTTCGATTCCCATTGATTAGTATTTACATTGATTAGTGGTTACTTAAAAGTTTAATATACCCTTGAGCAAGGTATTCCTACCCGAAATCATATGTATTGAGCATCCATGCATACGTCTTTCTTCTTGTGTGAAGTATCCACGGACAAAGGTATCCATCGTGTGCCGAAATCATATGTATTAAGCATCCATGTGTACATCTTTCCTTTTGTGTGAAGTATCTACGGACGAAGGTATCCACCGCGTGACTACCACACACGGGTGTTACCTCACATGGAATAGCTAGTTTACACAATAGAAAGATTGGTGAAGTATCTATAGACGAAGGTATCCACCGTGTGACTACCACACACGGGTGTTACCTCATATGGAATAGCTAATTTATACAATAGAAAGATTGGTAGATTGGATTGAATTGGAGGTGTTAGTTTCCCTTGGCTCAATAGGGGTTATTAATCAAAAGTTACCAAGATACTGGATTGGTAGATTTAGTGCGGAAATGGAGTCAATAGTTACCCTCTTATGTGAAGTATCCATGGACGAAAGTATCCACCATGGGACTATGGTACATGTGACTACCACACACGAGTGTTGCCTATTGGATTGGATTGGAGGTGCTGGTTCCCCTTGGTTCAATAGAGGTTGTTAATCAAAAGTTACCAAGATACCGGATTGGTAGATTTAATGCAGAAATGGAGGTGTTAGCTTAGTAGAGGTTGTTAGTCAATAGTTACCCTCTTGTGTGAATTATCCATGGATGAAGGTATCCACCGTGGGATTACAGTACATATGACTACCACACACGGGTGTTGCCTCACATGGAATAGCTTGTCTACACAATGGAAGGATTAGTAGATTGGATTGAATTAAAGGTGTTGGTTCTCCTTGGCTCAGTAAGGGTTGTTAATTAATAGTTACCAAGATACTAAATTCGTAGATTTAGTGTGGAAATGGAGGTGTTAATTCCCTTTAGCTCAGTAGAGGTTGTTAGTCAATAGTTACTAAAATACCAAAGAACCACAAAGGCCCTTGGATGCCCAAATGCTTGATTTTGCTTTGGGACAAGATCATGGCATACCTACCTCAAGTGAGCAGTCGGAGTGGGGCAGGGAATAAGAAAACTAAAAGATAATGGGAGGATAGATAGAAAGCCCACCTCTTTGTGCATACATATATATAATGAAATCAAAAGTAACTTTGTCAAATTGTCCAGTCTCAAAAATTTCAAATGGGGCTCTTCCATCCATTGGTTGTCCTTAGGAAAATGCACAGACACATTCAGTTTCCACAGCATCTTCAGCATTCACTGAGCAAAGCCACTCAGATGAGGTGCACAAAATTTGTCTAAGAATCAAGTACAATCACTTGATCACCTATTCCAAAAGAATAAAAAACAGAAAAAAGAATGAAACAAGTACAATTCGAGACATACTGCTCCAGTAAGTCTCTTAAGACATAAAGCATAAAGGATCATTCGTACTCTGCTGGGCACCTGGAGTATCTGAAGCCTGTCATGGGGAGAATAGTATGCATGACCCAGTAGCAACCTCAAATCTCTATAAATTTGCAAGTTTAGG